TATATATATATATATATATATATATATGTACATACTTTATCCTAAACCCTAAAATTCTTTAAAGTCTAATAAACCCTAAACCCTAATTCTTGCATAATACTCCTCCTGGTGTACTCTTGTGGTACTTATCCAAACCTCCCTAAACCCTAAACCCTAGACCCTAAACCCTAGACCCTAAACCCTAATTTGTTTGTTTGTTGTTATGTTGCAGATCAGCCTGATTGGATGCGAGTGTTTTGCTCAACCTTAGTAAATGGCGACTCTTCTTCCTCTACAGGAACGAGCAGCAGCACCAGCAGCAGCACCAGCAGCAGCAGCAGCAGCAGCAGCAGCAGCAGCAAGGAGATATATATGCATGCAGATTTTTCTACATATTTAATGGCAATATTATGTTTTATAGGTAGTTTTCCTTCTTCTTGTTTTGGTGGTGTTGGTCTTCTTCTTCTTCCTCTTTCTCTTCTTCGTAAACTTTGCAGACACTCTAAACCCCTCACTATCCCTCAATTCCAGTAAGATATACACAATTAGGGTTTAGGGTTTAGGGTTTAGGGTTTAGGGTTTAGGGTTTAGGGTTTAGGGTTTGGGAGGTTTAGGGTTTAGAGGGTTTAGAGGATTTATGGGGTTTGGGAAATTTAGAGGGTTTAGGGTTTAGGGTTTAGGCTTCAGCATTTGGATGGCGGTGGTTGAGTATTGAGGGGTCTGAGGGGATACTTGTAGGATTTAGGGTTTAGGGTTTAGGGTTTAGGGTTTAGGGTTTGTGTTGCAGTGAGCTTCGTCGTGAGTTGGGTTCGAAGGCTCATAAGTTGCATGCAGTTGGTTTGTTGCTGCAGCAGCAGCAGCAGAAGCAGATACAGCAGCAGCAGCAGCAGGCATTAAAGAATTCTCCTGGATCAGCAGCAGCAGCAGCAGGGAACAGCAGCAGCAGCAGCAAATCAGCAGGAGGAGGAGGAGGGGGGAAGCTAAGCTTAGGGTTACGTCGTTATATACGTCAGCAGCAGCAGCAGCAGCAGCAGCAGCAGCAGCAGCGTTGTTTTAAATTAGCAGTACATGTATTAGAGTGTGAATATCGTCAATTAGTAGAACAGCAGCAGCAGCAGCAGCAGCAGCAGCAGAATTTTTTTCGTCGTTTTTTTTCTTTTTCTTTATTTTTTTTTTCTTCTTTTTTGTCTTTTCTTTGGATAATTCAAATTATTCTTCTTTTCTTCTTCCCTTTCTTCTTTGATTATAATCATCATACTCCTTTCTTATTTATTGATACTTTTCTCCAGGTACGTAGCTAGCTAGCTAGCTAGCTAGTTAGCTGGGTAGGTAGGTAGGTAGCTAGCTAGCTAGCTAGCTCGCTGGCTGGGTAGCTAGCTAGGTAACTACGTGGCTACACGTCAATCTTGCTAGCTACACACGTAGCTAGCTAGCTAGCTAGCTGTACAGCTAACTAGGTAGCTAGCTGTATAATTAGCTCGATTAGGGTTTAAGCTGTGGCTAGCTGTATCCTCAACAAGCTGTTTATTACCCCATTTGCTGCTGTTCCTGCTGCTGCGGCGGCTGCTGCTGCTGCTGCTGCTGCTGGTGTGTTGTGCTGCAGTTCTTATCCAACCATCAGGCAGCATTAGCAGCATTAATAATTTATTTTATATTGGTGATGTATTTCCTTGTTTGTGTATTAAAAGGATGTTTATCCGTCGGCATGAGGGTATAAACCCTAAACCCTAAACCCTAAACCCTAGTCACTAAACCCTAAACACTAAACCCTAAACCCTTATTCTGGACTTAAGGACAATAGGTGTCGGGTAGTAGAGAGAGAGAGTTGAGCGTTGGTTTTGCTTCTGTAGCTCCTGGACTATACTTAGGGTTTAGGGTTTATTTAGGGTTTAGGGTTTATTTAGGGTTTAGGGTTTGTGGTTTGTTGTGTTCAGTTATTTTGTTGTTTTTCTATCCATCCTCTTCGTCGTGACGCTACACGATTAAATTCAATTTTATTTAATGTTGGCCTTGTTTGTATTTCTTCCTGCGGTACTGTTCTCTTCTCTTATGTAAGGGTTTAGGGTTTAGGGTTTAGGGTTTAGGGTTTAGGGTTTTGACTTTTTTTTCCAGCATGAGTCTGTTTTTTGTGAATTTATTTTAATAAATAATTGAATAATTAAATAATAAACTAAACTAATTAAACAAATTAATATAATTAATTAATAAATTAATTAATTATAATTATTTATTCCTCCTTTTTCTTCTTTTTTTTATACAGAATGCATTTCGTGAATATGCTCGTGGCACGGAGGCGGCGTTGACATTTGGCGTTGAATTTCAACATTTACGTTTCTTAGGGTAATTGGCTCATTTTTCTTCTTTTTTCTCCCTCTTCTTCCCTTTTTTATTTATTTTATTATTTATTTAATTGTTTATTTAATTAATAGCACTATTCTCCTTTTTTTTCTGCTTTTTTTTAAGGGTTTATTCACTTTTTTTTACTTGTTGACCGAAAAAAAGTGGTTTAGGGTTTAGGGTTTAGGGTTTAGGGTTTAGGGTTTAGGGTTTAGGGTTTGTGATATAGGCCAATGTTTCGATGGAATATTTTTGAATTAATATTACTTGTTGTCTTTCTTCTTACTCTTCTTTTTACTATAACAAAATGTTGCTGCTGCAATACGCAGCAGCAGCAGCAGCAGCAATTGACATCTCTTGCCCCTATACCTCCTCCGTTGCAGCGGCTGCTTGAATCAGTAACAACAGAGCCTTCTGCTGCTGCTGCAGCAGCAGCAGCAGCTGCTGCTGCTGCAGCAGCAGATAAGCAGCAGCTAACAATTGCAGCAGAAGGAGCAGACACCCGACACAAGAAGAAAGGGTTTGGGCGTTTCTTTAAGAACACAGCAAAGCAGCAGCAGCAGCAGCAGCAGGAATTGTTTCAGCAGCAGCAACAGCAGCAGCACCATCAACAACTACTCCAGCTACTGCAGCAGCAACAGCAGCAGCAACAGCAGCAGCAGCAGC